CATATGTCATGATGAAGATGTCGTCAATATATCCAAGTACAATCACGTCCGGGCACTCGGCGAGTATCTGCTCAATAAGATCTGCATTAAAGAATAGGAATAGGATTGGTGACAATGGGGAGCCCTGCGGAATGCCTGTATTGACTAGAAATTCCCCCATATTGCCCTCTAGGAGTGTGATTGACGTGCGGCGATTGCTTAGAAAGCTCTCAATCCAGCCAATCAGGTCATCTGGCACCTGGCGCTTTCGTAGGTCGTGTATCAGCCTTATATGATTGACGTTGTCAAAAGCCCCTGCCGCGTCAAGTGCAAGCCCTGAGGCTACTCGTGAGCCCTCTCTCCACGCACTATGGGTCTCTTCTAGTAAGAGATGGATTGCTAGTTCGCATGAGCGGCCGCGACGTCCTCCAATATGTTGCTTTGGTAAAAGATTATATTGCTCCACTAGATAGCTGAGACGTCTGGCTAACACTGATTCTAGTGCTTTGCCAATCGTGCTCAGTAACGCTATTGGGCGGTACGCCTTTGGATCAGAGTAATCAGGCTTTCCAGGCTTGCGAAGGATGACTGTTGTCGACTTTCGGAAATGGTCAGGGCAGTATTGTTGACGTAGACATGCATTAAAGAGATTAACGAGATAGGCCTCGATAGTAGGGAGCAGCCTTTGTAGGACCAGATTGGGGATTCCATCTGGCCCTGGTGCTTTGTCGGGCTTCACGTTGGTTACTGCCGTTCGGACTTCGTCTAACGTGATTGGTGGCATCGTATACGGTTTGGGATATCTATATTGTGGCCCAATATCTGACAGATCTGCCTCCGGGGGCTCTGGGTGGAGGACCTCTCGGAATAGGGCTGCTTTCTCCTTTGGGGCTGTGTAACTCGTGTTATTGTAGTGTAACGTTGGGGTAAACGTGGCACGTGGTTTGCCCCTATTGCGGACCCAACGGGCAATTCTCCAGAATCCATCTATTGACTCTGTTGCCTGCTCAATTCGTTGGCGATGTAGATCTCGTGCGAGCTCATTGGTGCGCCGTTTCATCTCTTTCCTAGCCTCTGCGTAGTCCTCCCATGCCTGATCTGTATTTATACGACGTGCGTGTCGTCTACACCTAGATACGTGGTGTTTAAGCTTCGCCATCTCTGGGGTGTAGCCCGCTCGTGAGTAGATGCTGATCTGTTTTGTAGGTGTCGCTTGCTCAGCTGCCTGATTGATTGCCTCAACTAGATAGCGGATCGCCTCATTGATCGCCTCATTGTCATTGAGCTCCCTTGGGTGCCAATTGTATATGTCCATCAGTTTAAGGAAGAGGTCCCAATCTGTTGCATTCCACTGCTTGCGAACCAATGGAGGAACACGTATAGCTGTAAGGTCAAATTGAGTGGAGATTGGGACATGATCTGCTCCGTACCACCACTCTGGCTTGGTGTCGCAGCTCACTACCCGGTTGGCTAGATTGTGCGATGCCCACACCAGATCAATTGTAGATTTGGCGTTAACCCTCTCGTACGTGATCGTGCCTGGTGGCAAGAGCTGCTCGAGCCCATGCTCATCCATAAGATTAATCAATTCGGTGGCCTCCTCGTCAACGTGTCGGTACCGCGGGCCCGCCCACAGCGGGTGATGTCGGTTGAAGTCCCCCAATACAATATGCTGCGCCCTAGGTGCCATGGCGGTTTGCAGGGCGCTAATTACAGATTCCTCGTTGCTATTGACTCCTGGATTGTATACATTGTGAATATGGATGGTTCCATGGGCGGCTGTATGAAGTGTCAATGTGCTCAGATCTCTATTATGGTATTGGACCTCCCATGTGGCTGGATCTAGCCCTCTATTGACGTAGAAACAGACTCGTGGGCGTTTCTTGTATTCTTCCTTGGGTGTGGGCTGCAGTAGGATATGGAAGCTGCCCTTGAGCGCTAGTGAGTATGTTGTTAGTGGGTCGGTATGTTTGTTGATGTAGGGTTCCTGGATAGCCAGGATATCGTAATTTTGCACCTCGCTCTCACCAAAGAGATGCATCTGGACCTCGTCCCGCGATTTCCAGCAGTTAGCCTGCAGGATTTGTAGTCGATTGGTGTTACGATACATTACTGATTGTTAGCCCAGGTGCTGTCTTCAAGGTTCGTGGTCATTAGCGTATCAGCCTCCTGAGCTGGCTCGATTGGATCCTGAGGGGCTTCGTGGATTGATGGCTGGGTAAGTTCATCCTCAGATGAGTCATCGTCTGGGATCGTACGCACACTCTTACTTCGGCGGACAGTCCTAACAGCTTGCACATGTGAAATTTCTAGTGGAGCAATATCTGATTGCAGAACCGGGGTTCCTGGTGGAGGCTTTGTATCCTGACGTGCACGTGTGTTATATGTATATTTGATCTGGGTCTCAGGTCCTGTCTTAGGTTCAGGATTAGGATCTGCATCTATAACTAGATCTTTATCCCACTGCGCTCTCATAGGCTTTTTCGAGGATCTATTGGTAGGGTCACCTGATGTAGGGCTTATCGGCTCGGGCTCAGATCGTTCTGCCACTCGTTTTCGGGCGGCTGCTGCGCTCTTACTTCTTGAGTTGGCAGATCGACGTGTGGTGGCTGTACGAGCCGGTGCGCGAGGACTTCGCTCTGTATTGGCTGCTTCAGCTGGTGTAGGGTCATTTGGTGAGATGGCTCCGGGCTGACTATTGCCAGGTCGTATCACAGGAGTGTGATATTGTGGGCCGTATGTACGTCGTTGATGTGCCTCTGCGAGGCATGTAGCTCGTATCGGGCACTCCCTCGCGTACGCAAAGTGTTTCGTATTGAGTCTCTTGGCAGGATCTTTGATATGGACATTTTCTGCGGTGCAATTAGCACATTTAGCGTATTCTTTCTCTTTCGGTGTAGGGCAATCCCCTGTATCATGAGATCCAGCGCAGTACGCGCAGCAGATCTGGCGCTGACAGTGCCTGGCGATATGTTTATACATCTGACACTTGAAGCACTGCTGGAGATTGGCTGCTTTGTCGTATATTGAGACATTGTGCTGTCTTCCCTTAATAATAAGGCCGCGTTGGATTGCAAAATTAGCAATCCTTTCATCATCAAATATGACTACAAGGTGGGCATTTGTGAGCTTCTGTTCCTTGATCTTATACTCGCTTAGGAGCCAGCCCGTGTGTGTGACATTCATAGAGGCTGGAAGCTGCGCGAACACCGGGGCGTTCTCTGAGGTAAGCGTGGTTATGAATTGAGGCTGTTTGGGGTTGATATTCGTGTTGACGCCGTGTACGACGACGCCCCATGTACGTTTTCGTATACGTGCTTCGTTTCCGAATGCCCTAATCCAGTCCTTCTTGCGGGTAAGCTGGTCGACGTCGTCCACTGTGCCTAGTAAGAGTATAATTCACCCTTCGAGCCAGGTATAAGAACGCGTCAACCACGGAAGTAGAGAGCTCACGGGGCATGCCAATCTCCAGTGCTTCTTGGTGCTTCTTCAGTGCCTCGAGATCTTTGATGGCTGCAGCTACGTATGCGCGTATATCAGGATCATCTGCAAACCGTGGTTCTGGCCACGGAGTGCCCTTTTTACCTCTTTTCGGGCCCATGCTTCAACCACGTCGATTGAGCAGGCGAAAGTTGGTAAATAGACTGTCAAGGAGGTCTATTTTCACTGAGATTCTTTCCAGCAGTACTTTTTACCTGCGTGGGTGCGTTTTCATAGGTGCGCGAGGTTTTTCGATCGATACCTCTGAACTTACCTCAATCAACAATTTTCCTAATGTAATCGACCGATAGTATCAACAGCAAGCGTTTACAGTACTAAAGATACCGACACTCTCACACAAATCTTCCTGGGACAATTTCTTCAAATTATGGCTGTTTCCCTTTAGAATAGTTGTACCGTAACATATTTCTTGCACTTGAAGCGCTAGTTACACTAGAACTAGAAATATACCCAGCCTAGGCCATATCGTTAATCACAATCGAGCTACCAATTTTTTCATATTAGTAAACATTTTGTCACCCGTCACAGCAATGTTCACACCCAGAAGCGACAACCAACACCACTACGAGCCAGTTGATATCTCTCACGACGGTTTTGAGTAATGAGTTGCGTGATGTGACCGGCTGTTAGGCCGTAGATAGGCGTGATATCAATATTCGCGACAGAGGTATTTGAATGTGTATAGGCACAAAAGCTTATTGTGTACGTTCCCATAGTATCAGTTAATCTGCGCTGGATGAAGCAAGAGGTCAGCGAGGGCCTAGCCTAATGTCACATGGATTCCTACAGCCGAGAACCCAGCCGATGACCTTACCAAGGCCTTACCCAAACAGAAACAGATGGTTTCAGATCGGAATGTGAGACACCAGTCACATGATCAATAAAAAACTGATGCTGGTTCGAAACTATGCAGAAATGGAAGAACGGGGCAGTTTCCGGGGTGTCGGAAATATGATGTATCTGCATGTGGATTTCCGGGTATTTACCCGAGAATCCCCTAGGATACTGGAATCAGATCGTCACATAAAAGTGGTATACTATTCATTGTCAGCATGTCCTACAATTTTCAATTTCATAGTGCTCAGATGATGCTCAGATGATCCATGGAGTGATCTCTCTTAGTTTAACCTAGGGTAGGGTATTCTATTACCAAACTAAGACGAAATCTTGCTGCAAACAGCCAATAATTACGTCGGTACAGTAACGTGATTGCGAACCATCCTGTCACGTGACACCACTTAGTTAGTTACTGGTCCCCGGAGACCTAGATAGGGACCAATGATATTCATCATCCTTCCACGATTAGTGTGCCCGTTATAAATGGTAGCATTGTTCCAGGCGTATAGCTAGGGACAGAACAGATTCCGTATAGGAGTTGTTCCTTTTGTGAATCCGTATAGGATTCAGTGAGAGCAGGTACTCTTCTCTCGATCTTCATTGCAACTTCGTTGTCTATCATCTCCCCTCCTCAACATCGATCCACGCAACGCCGCCATCCTATTGGACAAGACTACATGGATGATATAACCGAAGAGACACTTGAACGCATTCTACGGCTTCATAGCTTCTTAATTTTACCAGCGTTCCAAAAGCGATCGAAACCAGGCTTCACGGAAGCTCTCACAGCAATACTTACAAGGAGAGGACTAGCGGTCGACCCAGAGAAGCTCAACGGCTGTGAATTTTACGGACCACTGGATTGGGTGACTGGACAGCACCTCACATCATTCGAAATCAAAGATATCGCGCGTATAATCAACTTTCCTTTACCTGCTCAACGAAAAAGGCCGGAGACAGCTGCACAAGCTGTGCCTGAGGTGCCTACGCAAGCGGGGACGAAAACGGAAGGTACGACCGTTATCGAATCTACAACACTATCATCAACCCTAACCCCCATCACAATGAGCGAACCTACTCCAGTACCAGGATGGATTACCTCCATCTTTCAAACTAATATTCAACCGCATATTTCCTACTCCAAAACACAATACAAAAGAGATGCGGTCTACATCTTGACATTACTGCGGCGTATTTCTGAAGGACAACAGACGCAATTCGCGGGACTCATCAGGGAAACCGATTATACGCAGGCTCGGGCATTAGCTGCGTGCATGGATACTGCAAAATATGAGGAGTTTTTAGCAATGGCACGGGACGCTATCAACAGCTCTGGATATCCCGCTAATAACATCGAGACCTTCCGACTTTTTATGGAGAGATTCCGCGCCGGACCATCTGAACGGGCTCCAACGGAGATGGACGTAGCCAACGGCCAACCCGGGACAGATACAGGAAACTATCCAGAAGAACGACGGGGCCAACTCGAAGCGATCGAATCACGTGAACCGTCAGGTAGACGGGAAAGTGGTTCAAGTGGACAGTCTCATCGAAGTCGGATACCCAGTGAGCCTGATGACTCAGATGAATCATCCTCAGAATCAGACGTTTACCATAGACGACACCGTCACCAAGACCGACGCGACAATAGACGACACCGGAATTCCTTACCTACCAATCGACGCCCATGTAAATCACTGAAACCAGAGGATGTTATGCTTTTCGACCCTAAGAAAAATTCAGTGGTCTCCTTCACCAAACGAATTAGGCAGCTTTCTAGATCATATGGAAAGGAACCAGTTCTCGATGTCATACCTTTGTGCTTACGGGGCGATGCACGTGATTGGTACACGCATCTTTCTGACAGAATCACAGATACAATGCAGGAATCCCTTACGGAGTGCATCTTTCAATTAGAACAGCATTTCAAGAAGAGCTCATTTGAAGCGCGACGAGAGGCTGATAAGCTCAAATTCCGTTTCGCAAAGGAGAAAGACCTGCCACTAAGAGAGTATGTAGAAAGGAAGGTCATGCTCCTCCAGGAAGCCAACATCAAGGAGGAGGACGAAATCGTCACCAGAGTCTGGGAAAATCTTGACCCAGTCATCATGAATACAATAAGACCGGAGGACCTGTCCCTCGACGAGTTCACCAGACGACTGTTTCTACGGGAAGTCCCAGCTAGACTTGCTTGGAACCAACTGAACCGATTCGCTCCTACATATACCTCACCCAGAGCATATCCTAAATCCAAGTACAAGGACGACAAACCTGAACGTCAGAAGGACAAGGAAACCGAAAAGGACACCAAGAAAGGAATTCCTAGTAAACGCGAACGACTACGTGACTGCCGACACTGCGGAGGTCCTCATTGGGACTTCGATTGCCCGACTCGACGACCAACAGTGAAAGCATATCTGGTCCATGCCGGAGATACCGAGGACTCTCTTTCTGAATCCGATAAAAACGCATTACGCGATCTGCGAAAGCATAGGGAAATAGAGTATGATTCAAGCTCCTCTAATTCATCAAAAAACTAAGTGATGGGTCGGTATCCAGCTCCGCCCCAGCGACTTGCTGTCAAGCCGGAATATTACACACCACATCAGTAACCCATTATGAATTATCAGAAAAGAAAACAAAGAAAACAGAAGGACAACCCGGACGACAGTACCAAAACTATTCACACGTCACAGCTATTACAGCTACACCATCCAGATATGACTTAGAATTCTGCGGAGACACAGCATCTTCCATTTCCATGATATCGAAACAAACGCTATATCATTACTGGCCAAAAGAAGAGAAAATTCCAATAACGAACACGCCAATCGGCGGCATTGCTAGCAGCATCGAAACATCTGCATACGTTAACCTAACCCTAGACCTTCAAACAACAGCAGGTCACTCAATCAGCATTCCAGCGGAAGTTCATGTGGTGGAGAACCTAAGCTGTGACTTGTTGATCGGACTGAATGTTTTGAAGAAGGAGGGTGTGACCATAGACCTTAAGAATGATTTGCTACGAATACATGGCCAGAAAGGGAATGTACGGATCCGATGCAATAGAGGAAAAAAGATGAAAAAAGTTGCTATATACGCCACGGCCACAACTGACATTCCTTCTGGAATACAGAAAGGCGTCCCGGTGATGATTGGAAGACGAGGCCACCACAAATTACCATACACTAAGAGAGGATACCTTTTCCAACCCGAACCAAAGATCGACCTAGCAACCGAAACCTATGCATCAGCTCCATGGGCGCTACTGACAACTGACACCACAGTCATACCTGTTGCGAATCTAGGGAAAACGGATATCAAGATAGCTAACAAAAAGCTGGTCGGATGGCTACAAGAAGTCCCTCCACAGTCCCACCGTATCATGTCAATGTTGACAGATAACGAGACTGAATTGATGGAAGCTTCCGATGACCCAATTCCATTCCAAACAGGTTTTCAGGATGATCCAACAAATGTCGAACTAGCTGACATATCCGACGAATTTGGCCCAGAAATCAAGGAAAAGGTTATACAACTGTTGAAACAACACGGCCAACTCTTCCGATCGGAGTTAGGACTCCTGAGAGGTTCCAGGATGCCAATTCCATTCAAGGACAACAACCTCGACGGTTTGAAAACTAGCCCATATCAGATGAGCCACAGGGATAGGGCCGCTTCCAATGAGATTTTAGATGCTCTACAGAAGGAAGGAAGAATTGAACCAGTCCCAGAAAGTGAAACATCACCAATAGCTTCACCCGGATTCATTGTCTGGCAAAATGGCAAACCACGATTCGTAGTATACATGAGGAAGGTCAATGCAAAGTTACTACTCAATTCTTACCCACTCCCACGACAGGACGACGTCTTCGAGGCGGTTGGTGGCTCCTGCATATTCTCATCGATGGATATCAGGAAAGGGTTCTTTCAACAACCCATAGATGAGAAAGATCGTTGGAAAACTACATTTGTCACACCACATCGCGGACTTGAAAGACTAAAGGTATCCACCATGGGCTTGGCTACAACACCTTCATTTTTCCAGCAACGGATGGAGAATATACTCAGACCATACCTATGGAAAACAGTTATAGTGTACATAGACGACATAATAGTTTTTTCCAGGTCACCTGATGAACATCTCAACCACTTGGATGAAGTCCTCACCTTACTACGACAGTCTGGACTGACACTACAGGTCTCCAAATGCCACTTCGCCTATGGCTCCATCAAAGCATTGGGTCACTATATATCAAGGCTAGGACTGGTAACAGATGAAGAGAAAATCGCCGCTATCAAGGCGCTGGACTACCCCAACACACTTTCAGAATTGGAAACAGGACTCGGGCTATTCAATTACTACCGAAAATACTGCCTTGGGTACTCATACATTGCGGACCCCTTGGAAAAGTTGAAGACAAGGCTACTGAAAGGAGCACCATACAAAGGCCGTAAGAGGCGGAACTTTGCAGCAAAACAAAACATGACAGAGTTTGACGACGACTGCAAAGGAGCATGGGACGCTCTCAAAGACACATTAGCTGAAGCCCCAGTCCGATTCCTTCCAGACCTTACGAAACCCTTTCTGCTGTACACAGATGGCTCAAAGGAGTTTAGCTTTGGAGCCGCTTTGCACCAGGTCGACGAGAACGGTAAGGAACGTCCAGTTCTATTCCTTTCAAAGAAACTGTCGCCAGCCGAACAAAACTACTGGCCAACAGAATTAGAGGTTGCTGCCGCAATATGGGCGATTGCAAAACTGCGACAATACCTGGACGGAAACGAGTTCACGCTATACACAGACCACGCCGCGATACAAGGTCTCATGCAATCCGCGAACCCACATCGAAAAAACCAGAGACTCACTAGATGGGCCTTATACCTTGCCCAGTTTAGCAATATGAAGGTGGTTCATCGTCCAGGACGAGTCCATCGTAATGCCGACGCGTTATCTCGACTCCAACAGAAACGAAACAAGACCAACCAGGAAAGCCAAGAACAACATAAAGATACTATTCCTACTACCTTTATAGTTAATGTTATATCAATGGATCCACAATTACGAAAAATTCTGACCTCCGCACTACCAGACGACAGACACTTGGGGCGAATCTACAAAAATTTACGCGACATAGCCAACCAGATGAAGGAACGAGCAGAACCGGGAAACCCAATCAAGAACGGATTCAAACTCGACACTGCAACTGGGCTACTATATATGACACGGGAAAACATAGAGAGACTATGTATTCCAGCTAAAGCCCACAAGCTCGTTCTCATGGCCGCTCATGATCATAAGGGACACCCTGGTATCCAAAAGACACAGGATAGGCTCCGGAAAACCATTTATGTTCCCCGGCTGAAGGCGCTGGTGGAGTCGTATGTCCTAGCCTGCCCAGTCTGTAAAGCATCCAAAGAAGACAGACACCAACAATATGGTCAGCTCAATCCAATCACCACACCATCTCAACCATTCGCAGTGATCACAATGGATTTCATAACAGGTCTGCCAAAGTCTAAGAGCAACCACGACACACTCATGGTCACGGTTGAAAAGTTCACAAAAGCTATCAAGCTGATCGCAGGCTCCACTAAATACACGGCGGTAGAATGGGCTAAGGCATACTTTAAATGCATCTATCCATCCTGGGGTTTACCACAGGTGATCATATCAGATAGAGATGCCAAATTTACCTCAGATTTCTGGTCATACCTATTCCGCAGGGCATCAGTGCGTCTGGGTATCACAGCCGCCTACCACCCAGCTGCAGATGGACAGACGAACAATTCAACGCCATTATAGAGACACACTTAGATGCATGCTATGCCAATACCAGACGAACCATATGGGAGGATTATTGCCAGACGTAGAGCATTTCTTGATGACATCCAAGAACGAAACAACTGGGAAAACTCCATTCGAATTGCTTTATGGAGTCGAAGCTAGGTCGGAATTCATTCCACAAGGAGAATACCGATATGACTCCGCCGACGAATTCATCAAAGAGAGGGAACGCATCCGTTCCGAAGCGGCAGACGCAATACAATACGCACAGAGCCGAATGGCCTTCTACTTTGATCAAAAGCATAAACCAGTGGAACTGAAGGAGAAAGCATACATCCGCCTTACGAGAAAACCAGGACACAATGGTTACAAGATGGAAGGCGCAAGCTGCCTGTCTCCCGTGAAGATGGGGCCCTTTCCCATCAAAAGAAGAGTTGGCAATCTTGCATACGAGATGGACCTGCCACCGGACCTACGCATCCATCCTATTATTTCTGTCATCCACCTTGAACAAGCACCAAAAGATGAATGGGAAAGATCCATTATAACGACAATCCCACAGGATGTTCACCAAATCCGACTGCCATTCGAAGTTGAGGAAATACTAGATAAAAAGGTAATGCCTATTCAATCCGGTTCCAAACGCAAAATCTGGTTCTATCTTGTCAAGTACAAAGATGTCAGGAACACTAGTTGGCAACCTGCAGCGATCGTTTCCACACAATCCCCTGAACTTGTCGCACGATTTGAGAAAAAGACGGCACCACCAGAAACGAACGGGGAATCTGGCACTCAAGACCGAGAACCCAGATTCCACCCCCAATCAGGATAACAGCAATATCTCCTTAACCCAGTATTCATACACGTCGCATCCCAGTCATCTCCTACCGCCATTCACTCACTTCACTCCAACTTGATTATGTTCCTAGATAGCCAGGCGATGCTTCCTATATTACCTTATATCTTTTCACCACGGTGAGGCCACCTTTTTTCTGGGGCGGCATTCTGTCACGTGACACCACTTAGTTAGTTACTGGTCCCCGGAGACCTAGATAGGGACCAATGATATTCATCATCCTTCCACGATTAGTGTGCCCGTTATAAACCCGGACCCACGTCGCTTGCAGACAAAACGGGAGACTCGACATGCGTAGGTTGTGAATAGATCAAGAGATCTCAGTAACCAGAACATGTGGCGATCTGTTTAACTTTAACTCAATTAAAGTAAACATGGTATGTTAATTTAGCTCACACTAAGCACAACTCACATGTCAATGATGTAGCGTAGACTGACATCAAGCTCTCGAACATGCACTGGTGCCTAAATTTGTCTGAAAGAGCGAATTAGCACGATCTAACCTCGGGTTGCTCGGCAGTGGAATATCTTTGATCCGCTCTAACGGATTTGTTGCCCCTCCGGACGAGGGAACCGCAAATTCAAAATCAAAACCCGTTCATATCTATAGGGAAAAGAGAAAGGTTAGTTTGTTTGACCTATGATATTCTTTTGCTCGAGGACACGCATCGGTGCCTAATATATTTACTTAGGGTTTACTGAGTAGAATGACTCTTTTCCGACTACGTGACGTGCTAGTAGCCTACATCCAGCTACTGACTGCCGCCCATATATCGCAAGCGTTCAAGACCAGCATAAACTTCACAACCCGATACTCCTCGATTCTGTCATTACGCCTCGTTTGAAAACCCAGTTTCTCTACTGTTTCCAGTTCCGGAGAAGACACTTCGCTCACTTCTCGCCTAGCAGTCAACCGCTGGAACTTTAATTCTTCCCCCTTGAAAGATTTCTCGATTCGATCATGAGTCAAAGCATTCAGAAAGTCGCTGTCTCAAGCGAAGACGAAATCTTGGGAACAGCTAAAAATAGAGTAACTACTACTCCAACTTCACCTCAGCAAAGACTGACAGATTCTAGGGCATCTGTGATGAGTCGGCGACAATTAGATGGATTAGCGTGAATATTGGAGACCCAACGGAGCCTTCTACCGAGACAAATGCGATTGTAGTCGATCTCACTGCAAGTCGAGGTGCAATACGTATTTACGATAAGTTGACGGATTCACTAATTGGTGGTGTATATCTGGATGTCGATTCTGGTCGGACGATAGTCCCGTGGAACAGTTCATGGTGTTTCAGAGCATCCGGCGCTCCACGGGTCGCATATATTGAGATGGGGAAAATATAGTGAATTACATAACTCGATGCCTCCATTTGATGAATTGTTTTTTCAGGTCTTCTGTTATCGGCACATTGATGAATGGTGAAACGTTTTGGTAGTATGGGTCTGTGAGATAAATCGGGCCTGTTGTCAATCCAGAAAGTGCCACCACGATGACGTCGTTGGTGTTCAACTGATATACGTCGCCGGTAAGAGAGGACGCATTGCCGGTAAGGGAGGCTGAATGTGATTGTGGGAAGTGCGAATGTTCAATAATGCGGTTCCTTCTACTCAACGACTCGGGTGCAATTTCGGGTGAAGTCGAATAGGCATTTCGATTAACCACGGATGACGATTCTCCGACCAGAATTCCGAATTGCCATGGGTCTGAAATGCATTAGCGTTCAATTCTTTTTTAATACATTTAGCATACAATGTTACCTATGGCCATTTGCTTGTCAGATATTTCATGGCTTCGAATTTCAGGCGTCAACACAGGGTTACCCAATGGAGGCTGAAGGAAGTTCTGCGCCTCCTGAGATTCCTGGCGTTGTCTCTTTCTCTTTTCGCTATTTTTTGTGACGGTCCCGGAAAGACATTCGTTTATAACATGATCAGGAGATGAAACTTGTCTGACAGAGTTCGTAGCGACATTGTGTGAACGTTCGGCTGTTTCCCCAAGCAACCTCCCAGTTTGGTTCAGTGAAGATAACATATCTAAGAGACTTAGCCGAGATCAAATGGATAAGAATCAAATGCTGACCTATTATAACTTTGCCTTTAATTTGACCCGGGCAAACTTTCTCAATTGTACGAATGAACTTATTTCTCATTAATTGAGAAAAGTAACACTTTTGCTTTTCAAGGAATCGATGAAAAATCGTTATGAGATCGTGATTTTTGATGTCTTGCAAATGATCGGGTGACAAGGAAAAACAAGCCAAGATGAAGGAATCAACTCGACTCGAAGTGCAATTGGTGTCGGATAAAAAAGTCCAAAGGACTTCCTTTCCTAAACCTTCTTGCACGGACAGTTGTATATTCGTTTCAAATAATGATCTCTTTGAACTCTTTTCGAATGTCGCAACATGATACGTTTTCAACTTCTTCATATCGTCTTCTAGCTGTCTTCGTATCTTCCAGAAAATAGTCAGGGTATCCAACAGTAGCGAATAAGTGTCGGTTTCCACTTCAAGACCAAAGAGGATACTCTCCTGATCATGTTGCGAAATGGAGCCATCTCCCATTAGACTGAACATATTGGCAGGAAAGGAAGACTGAACAGGGGATTGAAGAGGGAGACTGAAGAGGGGACTGAAGAGGTGGACTGAAGAGGGAGGTAGAAGAGGGAGGTAGACGAGGGAATTAGACGAGGGAGTTAGAAGAGGGGGTTGAAGAGTGGGGTAGAAGAGTGGGGCAGAAGAGGGAGGCAGAAGAGGGACTAGAGCAATGATCAGCGCCATCCAATCATTAGCTTAAATGATACTTATATGCCAAACTATCACTTCCTACTAAATCCTAAAGTAGATTCAGCCAATCGGAAATCAGCTAGTCACAAATCGTTCTAGATGCCTCAGCAGATTTTCCCAAAATATTTCCTCGAAGATGGCCGTACCACATCTCGATAATGCAATAGGCTGGCGGTAAGTCCGCTTCTGAATGTTTTCCCTTAATGTAAATTGTCCAACGAGCCTCGATGGGACGATTGCTCGGCATATCATCCTCTCCCGAGCAATTATCGCTGAAAAAGGAAATGCAATACTCATAATCACAAGTACGGCGCCTATAAAGATTCCGGCCTTGCCCCAGGTTCACCGCAATTTGACATGGTCAATTCAAGCCTTTCACCGGTTTCATTCCTGAAAATCAGGATCGACCTTCTATGTTTCCTGGATAATGGGCAGAGGAGCATACGATACTACCGGTGTCAAGAAGCCTGGCCAGCCGAAACCCCCGAAATAGTGCCTGCACTCACCCCGCAACATTTCAAACCAGACCGCATAGACAGCTTTCAGACCCTAGACCAAGGTTCAGTCCGGACAGGCAATATGTGCTGCCTCCCATGGTTATCAGCCTTGTTTGGTCATTTGGGATGGTATCTATCTGATGACTCTCAACCTTTGTCGCAGGAGCTACAGGTGAGATGACTAGCCCTGTGTCTAGGATTCGACTGCTGACAGATGAGGACTAGGGCGGAAATCTTACTGGCGACGACAAGGGGTATCAACAACTACAATCAATGCAGAGCCTGCCGCAGGTATTGTAGTCTTTCCTAACTTTACAAGCTCCCCTGCTAATCGGAATATCTAGTCAACAAATGAACGGGGAAAGCATGGAGTCTTTGTGACTCTCTTCAGACGTCAACTTGGAAGTCCATCTTTTGCCTGCGCAACGGTGGTGATAGAAGTTTGGCAAGATGGAGTGCGCGTGGCTTGGAAACATGCGTTTGTTGAGCAATTATTCCTCCTCCCAGATGGGAAACAAGCCCTGGAGTTATTTCTTGGCAGAGAATTGGACGAGGGCGAAATTAGGCAGGTCTACGAAAGTATACTGATGCAAGCACAGCCAGACTGGAAATCTCGAGGCAACGAGTCGTTGAATGACCTGTGGAGATCAATCAGTATGCAGCAGAGCCAAGGTAAACTAGATGGATTGATCAATAGAGTAGCCAAAATACAGACATGATAATAGAATTCGGTTTTTGTCGATGAGCAAATGTTGCCGTGTTAGATTGGGCTCACAGAATCCGAACTTCACCGATGGAAATTGAGTTCAGCTTCCTGCAGGTCTCATCTTCTACATAAAATGTAGCATCATCAACGCTAGTCATACGTGTCATCGCGTCTGATTAGTGCTACCAATCGATTTGCACTATCTTGAGTGCACTACAAAAAGCAATCTCACCTAAGCAATGCCATTTTAGCGTTACCAAGCTAGACAACGGATAGGATCGCATCTCCTCATCGCTTTATACTCTTGCAGATTCGAGTTTAGCCCTGGCTTGCATCTAGGTCCGCAGCAGATGATGAGTCGACGACTTTAGATAGCCCCTTGAGCTGAGCACAACGGATCGACACAAATGACTAACTGCTTGCTGCAACGGGGATCTGGATAGTTGGCACGTAGACCCCGAAGCTAGACAACAAAAAGTAGTCGTTCTGAACTATCCTCCACGTACAATTACGATTGGCAAGTCTAGACCCTGTAAGATAATAATTATGACGAATACGCCTCGCTGGAGACTGATTACAGGGTTTAACAAGCCGATATGTCTTGATAACGGTCACCAGACTGATGACAGCCCACGTCAGCTTCTCGGCGGATTTCGTTCTCGATGGTAGGAGGAAGGCCATACCAAAAGGATATAAATATCCCGATACCCTCCTGTCTTGCTGTGGACAAAGACTGCTGGCAAAAAGCAAAGACAACATCATCAACGAAATAATGTGAGCCTATCATCCTTAGCCGCAATGAGTCCTACTGATGAAGTGAACAGGGCTACTTCTCCACTCCGTGAGCATATTCGCACCTTCAAGCAGTGGCTCGCTGAAATGAATGAAGATCCACAAGGTCCATTCTCCAAGAACAAAAAAATCGAAGAAATGAGTCCCTCGGAATTGGAGCAGGAGAGTCGCTTCCTGGAGTCAAGACTTCGTTCAATCTATACCGAGAAATTGATAGCGAATAATCGATGGGAGATGGGTATGGAAGACTTTCGACTTTATGCGCTGAGAAACAAAGCGTCCGGCCTGCTTTCCACTGGATTCACAATTGGTGACGGACCCTCCAGTGAAGAGGTTATGCGCAAGAGGCTGAACCGATAACTTGCGCCGAAAAGTGCTGCGGTCTCGACAAACTTCTCAAAAAGAGGCTAGTGATCGTTTACAGAGACTTTGCAATGACGGGACTATGTAACTGATTTAGATCACATACGGGTACACGCAGTACTGCAGAGTTTGGCTGGAATTTCAACGTATGGACTGGCAGAATATATACCGTAACTAGATAATCCAGAATTGCATGAAGTCCAGAAGGGGCGTACTAGTCTATATAAAAGATGATAATAGATAACCACCGAGCTTTGGCGAATCTGTTGCCCTTTGTGGCGAAGATGATGGTATTTTAAACGTAATCATCTGCGGAGAGACTTCGATAAATGTTAGCCGGATGACCGCGTTTAACCTTCTCCATCTACACACCTCACCGCCGCTCAAGATTCCCGAGTCCAATAGCAAATCTAGGGAACTATATAAAGCTATCCTTCCGATAATACTCGCAGAAGGAGTTGATTGTCTCTGCAGCAACAGCACCTTGATCCCTGTCGCCAGATGCCGTCATGCCGGGAGCCGTAGGAAGTACATGGAAAAGGCTTCGTGAAATCACCTACTTTTTCTGTGGAATTGAGGATAAATGTGCGCACGTCGGAGTATATGCCAGTCGTCCAGCCAGGATACGACAAGGAGGCACAATGTGGGAAGCGATGAACGATATGCGAATAGGCGATTTGAATATTTCTAGTGGAGGATACAGACTTGTTGTTGAGTTTGAGGATTTTGAGATACTCCGATAGGAGTCCTTGTCACGATATCATTTATTGTTGTTTCCACTTTCTTCTTCTTGACCAGATTTCCTCTTTCGCGACATGTTTCTTTTGTTTCCTGCCTAAACTGGCGGTGTTTGATGGTTCATGTCTGTCTCTACACGGGTAGATAAGCATAGAGAAGATCTGACATAGTATGGTGAGTTGAGATACAGGTTCTATTTGCTGTACTTGAAAGAAATCCGCAGATGATTATGTACCTGCTGACTCACCCTCCGCGGGGTATGACACGGGTGGGCCCACTTCGATAGGTAAAATCTTCATGATTATATATGTCCTTGGAGCAATCCGTAGTAGTGATAACAATATGCGTGCTTTTCATCATTTACAGATTCTCCACGATGAGGAAGTGGAGAACCAGTTACACCATCTCATTCCACAGATGGAATCCTGGTTACTCGGTGCTATTCCATTCAGCGGTAACCAGACCGAGCTCGGCGTCGCATTTCCCGTTGCTGAAAACGTCGATGCTGCGTTGGCTCCCATTCGAAAACTGATATATAAAGGTGTATGATACATTCAATCTGAAGAACCGCTATAGGTGCTGACAGTCTAATTTAGGCAGCCGAGTATGCACTTCTTCGCACCGGACGGACCACAAACACACCAATGAACTTGTCCCACGCAGTTTATACCGTCCTCCACGTCGACGGCAGACCGCAAATCGGAGGCATACCTCTGAATCTCGCAAAGTCGATTTGGATCGATCGGCCTGTTGTTGTTGATGCCGGATTTATTTTCATGGTTAGCAAGCCGGCCGAGATCCTTGTTGGAAAAAGCAACACAACTTGAGGTTGTGCTCACCTTATACTTAAATCGTCCATTGTTCTGGGTAATTTGACATTCCAGTTGTCACATCTGGGTTCAAAATGTCTTCTCCGGTCTCAGGCATGTTGCTGAGTGGAAATCGATCGATCAACGTTGGGGCATGGTATTGGACTAGGTTATCTTAATTCGCAGTTAGCGAACCCCATGCTATTCGAAATTGATGGCATACCGGAAAATAAATTATCCTGGGAAAGCATTGCATCTGAGTTAAAGCCATCTAGCTGGCCATCTGCTTTGAGTTCCTGTTAATAATAATTCTGGATTGCATAGAATCATCTCTTACAGATAGGACCAGTTCCAGAACTCATATCTGGATTACCACATGTTTCATTTTCGCCATAATGTTCAACAATAAATCTGAAATCGAAGAGTTCCTGGCTCCTTTGTGGGATCTTCTCAGCGGCAATCGACGACCGCAGCGCTCTTTGATAGCAGTCATGGAATTTCTTGAAATCCTTTCGCAATAATAACAGACCTTGGTGAATATCATCTTTCATGGAGCGGAAGTGCCCATTTAATCTATCAACGCGAGGAAAGCCTTCGAGACATTGAGGACAGACCAGTTTGATTGTCGATTTGCTTAATATCTCAAAGAGGGTTTTGTGCTGTTTTTCTTGACTTGCCATTTCGAAGGGAAGGGCGAAGGTTTCTTTTCTCAACTGCTCCATTCTCGACACAAAGTGGCGTATGGTAACATTATGTATTGTCTACTCGTATCGCTTGATTTTCTGGTTGTTCCGATTCGTGCTGATCTAAATGCTTGGCCATAAAATGGTGAAAGCGGATCAGCATCATAGCGCTGTCGTCTCCACTTTTCCTCGTTCACGCAGGTTAACGCATAGCGCGAAATGTGCCCTTCCTTCCAATTCTACACTGTTGGAATCCTTGTTGAAGTCCACCGGCTGAATCTAGGCCGCATTTGGAGATTGCTTTCATGGCTAGAAAAAAGTCTGTTGCAGATGATGTGGTCCAAGCATCCTTGCTAGGTTGCACGGTCATCGTCCCCTTTATGGTTCTCAGTCCCTACCTGACGCTGAAGCTATTTATAATCTCTCCCGGTTGTATTCCAAATGACTGCAGCCTCGAATGAGAATTTCCTTTGGCAAAAGAGAATATGGCGGTGACTCCAATTATGCCCGAAGATCCATTGGCGTGGCGGGCCGAAGAAATGATAGCGGCTTACCGGGCTCACGACCTAGACTCGATACGCTTGATCAGGAAATTCTGCCCCTACAACGAAGAATACTACTTCAAGAATCGACATTGGCTGACGGATTCACCGCTGGATTACTTCCGATCTGAAATCAGCATTAAAATTGAACAACTGTTTGGAGACGAAAAGGAGGTTCTTGGAATGCTCGATAGGGACAATCCACCGACTATTCGTTGGGGTGACGTTTTCTGGTTGGACACAACAAGCCTTGGGTCTGAGTCCGAGATCAGTGATGCATTTTGAATTCTTATTATTCAAAACTAGTAGTAAGCTCTGGAGGTTCATTCGCGAACATGAAAGTGAACAGGAAAAATTTCGGCGGATTGAGGGACAAGTGAGTCACCACCCTCAACTCTGTGACTAGTACTAATTGATAGTAGATGATCCGGAGAAGAAATCCATTTGCATGCATCATCACATGTGCCTGTACGCGCTCTTTCTATCCACCGAGAGTCAACTTGGATTTCATAACAAAGCCTATTCAACAGCGCATATCGAAGCATGCTACGATGGTTGAGAATCTACAAGCCTTCGAGAGGTTCGAAGGTCAATTCCCCTTAGAGTACGAGGAGTTTTGGTACGAGTCATTCGGAGATTATGCGTTTTTGGTGAAACTTTTCAGATCGACCCTGCACAACAATCTACGACTTGGCTTTTTTGGAACAATCTTTGTCGTATGTCTGATATACAGCCGGATGTGTTTTAAGCTATTCTAGAACCTAATTAGCTCTTTCCACTTCTTCCATATCCAATAGTTCAAAGAGATTTCCGCTAGCTTAATACAAGCAATAATATACTAGACAAAGAACAGTTCATATTCGAACAATCAGCGGTGTGGCATCAAGACAAGGATCCGGTGGAGTCCGGTTGACTCCTATTATTAGCCAGCGCGTATAGCTCACGGAGGCTCAATTCTTAATGTGGAACACGCCAATCTCAACATAGAGTTTGCCTACCTCCTGTGTCTGACAAGCGAAAAGATCAACCGAGGAGACGCGACAGTACTAGTAACGAATGTAGTGATGAGGTGTCTTGAAACTGAGAGCGATACAGATCGTTGATCGGTATATAGTGAGATAGGAAAAGAACTAGAAAGCCACTTCTGAAACTAGTTGCATGCGAGATTTTCTCGTCAACGTTCCTGATGCGGTCAATCTCCATCATACCTGTGCTAAAAAAAAAAAATTGACCACGCATTAGCTCGATGCATAGATACCACATGAGACACTACTGCCTAATCAGTGCTACTGCGAGTGTAGGCGTTCCCAGCCTCACCTGCCTAGATAATCCTTGGAAATCCACCAGTACGAGAATAGACGATTACTAAAGTTTCATCGGCATTTCCTCGAGGCTGTACATTGAAACCAGGCATATCTTCCTTGAACCTGGCGAGCTGAAAACAGTCTTGGTGACGGCATCCAAATTTATTTAACTCTTCCTCCACCCCTTGAATTGATCGTAAAACCTGACGTTCTCCTTATCATCTCTCTTCTCGCGATCAAACAATGATTTATTCAAGTTTCAATTCATCAACCAACCTGTCATCCCCGCCTGAAGACATTTTTAGGAGTTTCTTTTTTCCAGGCTTTTCCCTCATGACTCATTTACTCGCCACCCATCTCAACGTGGATGGATCATCTTTTCTAACACCTGTTGTACTGCTAGGGGCTCTTGCGGCATATATCGGTTGGAAACCCCCCAACCTTTTGGCTATGGTGGAGAATTGGTTCATGTCTAGCATTGAGATCCAATGGTCCGACCACTCTTTTGAGGCTCTGGAAAGTTGGCTGGGTCAGGATAAGATTCGCAAAATGTCTACCCAGCTACGTGCAACAACTGGATCACGATTATTTTGGACCAAGGACAAAGCCCACGTCGAAGAGGAACATCTGTTACAAACAGAACCACCTCGGACATTCAGCATGCCACGTCTCATCTTAACCCTTGGAAAGGGGAAACACTGGTTCTGGTACAGATGGCGCCCAATCGTGGTAGTTAGAGAGGAGAAATCGGAAATTTTGGATAGTCTATATCTAAAGTGTTTTGGATGGAGTAATGAGAGCCTTTAAAATATACTACATGAAGTACGACTCAAGCTCGCGGAGCTAAGCGAGAACATGACTGCCGTTTATCGTACGCAGAGGAAATCCGAGTCGGTCGCCTGGACCCGTGCACCAGGCCAACGAATGCGACTACCGTCAACAGTTATTATGAACTCCAACTCACAAAAAAAATTTATGGACGATATCCATGTTTATCTACAACCAAAGACACGAGCATGGCACAACGCGCGTGGGCTTCCTTACCGCAAAGGTTATCTGTTTCATGGTCCTCCTGGTACAGGAAAAACCAGCTTGTGTATCGCTGCGGCAGGCCACTTTAAGCTGAAAATATACATCCTCAGTCTCAATAATATGACAGAGGATGACCTTAACAGCCTGGTATCAACCTTGCCCGCACAATGTATTCTGCTTCTGGAGGATGTCGATACACAAAAGTTCGCGAATCCCCGTACCGCCGAGGCCGGTAACATTGTTTCCACATATCAACGACTAACTCTCTCCTCACTGCTGAATGCCATTGATGGAGTGATAGCCACGGAAGGCCGCATCCTTATAATGACTACCAATCACAAGGACAAGCTCGATCCAGCCCTGATACGCCCAGGCAGAGTTGACATGACTGTTAGCTTTGAGTACCCCAACTTTGATAGCATCAAGCGCCTGTTTCTCTTGATGTATTCCGAAAGTTCCTCAGAAGAGCATGGGGTCCAGCAATCAGCTTTGCCCCATTGCCGACAATGTCCACAATTTCAGTCATCTCCCCCGGCTGGCGATTCAGTTATCACTCCTAAAGATGAACTCGAAATCCTTGCAAAGAGGTTTGCAGGGTTGTTGCCGGAAAAGACACATAGCCAGGCTCACATACTAAATTACTTGAAGACGTATTCTGGGGAGCCTGAGGATGCCGTCACTATGGCTGCTGGATATTTCAAGGAGGAAAAGTCGGTGCCTGTCGTTGAACAGTCACATGGCAGCTCCAATCCTATCTTTCCGTGGTTTCTGTAGAAGGGCTGCTTTGCGAGAAGTGCATTGCGAGGTCGCTTTGATGTTCGATATGTAGCTAGTTAGATTGGAATCAACATGAAAGAGGATATTTTAGGCTTCCATCACGCATGTACTCTGGCCCACCTATGCCTGACTTTATGCCTAAACATCTTAGAATGTTACCAAGCGAGATCCGAGATATCATGAACCTTCCTTGTTATCAAGCGTTGAGTAAAAAATGCCGGTCTACCATATGCAAAGGGTTCCAGGCGTACAGAGACCTTTTTGATGCCGAAAAAAATGTCGAAAAGGAAGTGGTTAAGACGAAGAGAAGCATTCTTGAACAAATAGTTGTTGTTGGAGTGCTTGAAGTGATATATCAGGAAGTAGCATCGTGGCCAAGAAAAATAAGCCGGTCTTCTTGATGACCAGCCATCAACTCAATCTGGAGAAATCGGGTTTGAATCACCTGGAGATCATCGGTAATCTTCGATTTTTGAACGAATTCTTGTTGGGTTCTAAAGATACTGAGAAGATTATTAAGGCCGTCTCTGACTTGTAGCAAGCACACGCTGCTTCAGGTTTTCCATCAAGTGTACTCCTGCGCGTTGGAATTGTTGGTGGTGGAGCAATCGCTCTGAGCTACGAGTTGGATCTAGGCAAGATATTACAGCCAAACCTTGAAAGATGTCTCTCTCCGGAAAAGAGGCTCAGGCTTCCGGATTCGCTACAGTACTGTACGGTCCCTCCTCCAATCTAAGAAGTATCGATATCGTCGATTTCTAATTCATTTCTCTTTCTGCTCTAACAGTTTAAAAAGTCTTTCTTGTTGCTGTTCCAACTGAGCAAGAAGTTTTTCTTCCCGTGCTTTCTGCTCTGCCTCTCGCGCTTTCTGCTCTGCCTCCCGTGTTTTCTGCTCTTCTCTCTGCTGTTCCAACTGAGCAAGAAGTTTCTCTTCTCGTGCTTTCTGATCTGCTGATAGTTGCTCTTGCTGGAACTTTTGTTCCTCTAACTGTTGCTGCAAGGTTTGAATCATGCTACGTAGCTCCGGTTGTAAGACCCGGTTCTGTGCAGAGGGCGCCCGGCTATATGAGGACCGCTCCTGGGACTAGATTCGTGATTGGGAGCTTATCTCGTCATCGACTTCGAGCTCAAAAGGGAGTTCTTGTGGATCAGGAACTTCTTCCAGAAAACGCATTAACCGTCCAGTATGGATTGGAAGGAAATCACGATCGAGATTTTCCACAAAACGAAGACATTGCCATTTATCCCCGTCTGCCCAGATGTTGAACTGCTTTACTAACCAGCGATAATATTTGATCCCGTCTTCGCCAATCTCGGGATAGTGGCCGTAGATTCGCACACCCTCTAATTCATGCGAAATCGAGAAGCCAAGGAGCCTCCGATTCACCTCTCCCAGACGGCCGGCAGCCTCAGCTAAACTGACCACCGCGCGAAGGGCAATACACATGCTGTGCATATTCTGCCGATCCGCAAATTCCAGAGCTTGGTTCCCGCACTTAATTTCTGCCGTTAAGTAAGGGAAGTACATATCTTCTCGCACTGCATAGAGGGATTTTTCGCCCGGCTTGATTCCAAGCTTTCGCCGCTGATTGTCTGAAAAGGTCGACCACCTTAAGCCTCGAGCATGGTCCGGCTGTGGTTTGGGACCATAGATTGGCTCTGTCTTGAGCCATGGATCATTGTAACCATCGATAACATTTTTAAGTTCGTCCTTCCCTTGGATAAAGAGGTTCTCTGCAGATGGCATGAGAAGTGGATGTAGATCTACCAGCAGTCGCGCCTCTGATCGATTTCGTAATGTATTGTGAAAATCTTCAATGAACTCATCGTCGAATAGACCGCGCGGGATTTCAACGGATTCGCTTCGGAAGTCGGACCGGCGGGGGAATGGCGCATAAAGCAGCCTTTTGTCTCTAGAATCGTCACATAATTTGCCGCCTTATATGCATATGATTTAGCATCACGAGACGACGCACTCCCAGTCGGTGAAACAGAACGAGGGCGTCCACGGTCGGTCGATGTTGATTGTGAGCGTGACCTCTTAGACGCAGGTTGACTCATAACGTCAACCTCGTTAAACTGCTCTGACGGGGCGGGTATCCACGCTTTGTTGATCGGTTTCGACGGATGTACAATCGCTGACTGTCCACGTTCCTGTTCATTAATCTTCTGAAACTCTATTAGCACATCAGCACAATATTAGGTGTTTGCAACCAGCCCTACTACTAACATTATATGATAAAGGTGAAAGGGGTTGCGTTGTGATCTGCTCCTGCTCCTTGTTTGATGGTACTGCAACTGTGCTTGAACTGTCGCGCCGTCGCAGTTTCTTCGCTGGCCGTTCGCCCACGTCGTCATACGAATCAGAGGCTATTGTGCGTTTCATATTCTAGGCATTAGATGATGCAAAGAACTAGTTGATTCAATGAAAACAACCACTGCGATTTAATATATAGCATTGTATCAGAAAGGATAAAGAGTTGAGAATTGAGTGGTAGGGAGATCGAAACACGGGCTCGGCTTGGCGCCGACCCAAAAACTTGAAGTGGTTCTAACATCCAATTATATCTCCATTCATGTATTAGTCATTTTCCGCCTTAAAATCCAGGCGCCAAACGGCGGGACATCCGTCCCACATCCAATTGGTGAGATACCGAAAAGTGGAGGCCAAGGCGGCCGAATTATGACAAACCTGCCCGTCTGGGTAGGATGGAGAATTGTCATAGTTCCAAGGGTATACGATCATGGTAGTCCTCACCAACCACCACATTTTTGCATGAGCATATGGTGGCGTCGGTGCATTAACTACATTGGGATAACACTCGCTAACGTAAGTACTTTGGATGTTTGTACGGGTACGGAGTACTCTGACAGGACTGGCGTTGAACCCTGATCGACCGCGGAGATACGATTCGATGCGGTTCGACACTCCGCTTGTGGACCGAAGGGCACAGTTAATTGGACAAAACTAAATGGCTAGCCTGTCTGCTTCCGGTGCCTGGCAGGGATAGCTTGATTCGCACGTGGGCGATTCTCCTGTATCCAGAAGGAGCTAATTGATAGAGTTGAGCTCTGTCTTGTCTTGATTTACTACGTACTATGTATGTTGTATAGCTGCCCTTTTGATGAGAAGGGGAACCTGATCTTCCAGACGGTTTCTCATTCTTCTCGCACTTCGATCACCTGCGCATGACTGTACGGCATGTGAACCACACCACTAAGGAAAGTGTGGGCCTTGATTTCTCCACAGGTCCATGAAGTTCTAGCGTTAGTCTCTTTCAGTTCTCAGTCACTATTTCCGTTCCATATCGCTGTTCCTGTCTTCCAATACTGACCACGTAAAATGTGGGATCTCTGTCGGTTCTTTCCTCTACCCATCCTAACCTCCTTTCCCACCACCGAACGACCAGCACTGTAGCCTATTATCTCTTCATCAGAAATATTCTTCGTAGGTATGAGTTCCCAGGTAACTCATTAGGTATTACAGCAACTGATGGGGAATAACGTTTTGCAACACAGGAATATAGTCATGAGCCATTTTTCAGAGTATTTCCTCCGTACGGCCGAAGCAAAGCCAGAGGTCAGTTCTATTCACGTCAAGAAGTTCCTTTGCTGATCAGAGTGCTAGTTCGGATTGGCGTTTGTCCAGCTCCTAGGGGTGACTCGCCAGTTGGATAAAGTCGGCCAGAAGCTAGCTCGTCTCGCTAGAGAAATCGACGGAACAGACCTATATTTTTCCATAGCAATAACAGATCGTTCTTCGAAATCGCAACACATAGGTCTGTTACGAGACGACTCTTGACAGCAGTGTGACTTGATAGCTTTATTAATATTTTGTCAGTTGATCTTCCTCATTCACACCACGATCCGCATATACCAAAACCCGATCATACACCAGATACCTCATGCATCGACCCGGCTTTGCTACAAAAGCAGAATGAGCTGCTAAGCGAGGACCCTCCAAGTAACGGCTTGGATGACAGGCTTGAGAGGTCGCCCATGGGTGACCTGGGTCAGAACTGGAGCAACAAGAGTCTACCATCTACTGATACTATGTGCAATATGGCGGACAGCAGTAACCCTGATACTACCTCGTCAAACGTACGCGGGATTGCAGCGATAAGTCCCCCAATTTCGATTGAAACAGCAAATTGTTCAACCCCGGAGACCTATAAGGTCGCAACGCGAGCCAATATGCAAGCAAGTATAGAAGATGTGAGCGATGAGGGTGATGATATAATTCAACAAAGTGGACGAGCCTCGCCGACTGGTTATGATGAAAACATGCAACCAAATTATGTGAACGATGAAGGCGAAAATATCGTTCCACAGAAGAAACGAGTTCGGCTGTCTGGTGATGGTGAAAATATGCAAGCAAGTGTAGAAGATGTGAGCGGTGAAGGCAGTGGTATCCTTCCACAGAAGAAACGAGTCCGGCCGACTGGTGATGGTGGCCGTCTACGACAGCCTGGACCTAGGAAAAAACCCCCTTTGAAGAAGAGCAGCGAAGCAAAGCATGCACGGTCTACCGCTCAGAAGATCTCCAATCAGCAAGCTGATGCTTCTCGTTCAGTGACAAGGTATTCCGCTTATGATCAAATGCGGTGTCTATTTGGTTCTGGTAAGGCGGAGAAGGAAAAATTATCGGAGTCTTCTTTCATCCGGGTATTGGCACTGTACGCGAAAAGTTCGCGGCCCGATCTAGCAACATTTCTAGAGAATCTGAGCAATCTTTGGCGGGCAAATCGCTTCTGGAGCCCTGACGCTCTCCATCTTTCGATGCCAGAAGAGCTGCCATCGGGCAGTTCATGTCTGAGGCTCTTCCGGTATGATCGGGATCTCGGGAAAGAATCTGGAATCAATGTGATCAGACGTCGGTTTGTACAATTAAAACTACATTTGTCTTTCATACGCCTGTGCAACGAAATGACAAACCCCAAAAGCCCTTGTTTTAAGACCGGCCTGAATAGCCGCAGAATTCCAAGTCATGCCATTGACAATCTTATGGAATTGGAAGGCAGTAACGGTTATTCTGATGATCCATTAGCACCTAAGGATCGTGGTCGCTTCGTCAAGACTAATGCTAAGGGGAGGAGGTGGTATCTGATCTCTCACTATATCGGGTGGGGTTCACTAATCATCTTCAACAACATTGATACAACTCTGTGAGCAACCTGTATCCTTCAATGAATATTCATTCTGACCATTGCCACAGCGCTAAAGTCGATCTCATTGAACTGGAGGCTTTTATCATATACGTCTTAAATACTCAGCCTAGGGTGGTAGCACTATGTCACAAATACGAGCAGCCTGTCAAAGATCTCTTGAACGGCAGAAAGCCCGCTCTCACTTTGACAGAGCAAGAAGTCACAAGTACTATTGGTGGTTTACCCCATGCCATTGACCACAATGAAGGTGCAAAAAATCACTGGCAACGAATCAATACGAAGATCGATACGGATGTTTCCGAAGTTCTTTCACATGACTGAGGATAGTATTTCAATCTGTCGCATACATTAGATAGCTAAGGGAGTGCATTCATGATTTGCTCAATGTTGCTACATTAAGACTAGATTTACACTTAATAATACGATATAGAAGCTGCAAATTCTGTTGAATTGCTTACGATCTCGGCTGGAAACATGCGAGGCAAGAGCTTCTGGCTGTGTGCCAGTGGTGAACTGAAAATGGGGCTAGAGCGTTTACGGCAATTGATTAGGTACCGAAGCGTGAAAAAGAACGAATATAGTTATCACAAGATTCTCTGTATCGGGCACGGTTCTTAAAACATCCTTGTAATGGGTTTTTAGGGGTTTTTATATGCAAATTTTCAAGCATTCAACGAGTGACGATGTTTGACAGAATGTTCTTGATGCATGGTTTGTAGTTGATTTGTAATGCTCAACTAGGCGACGATTTGTAGAAGATTCTGTGTCAAAACTTGAAGCAATTCTCTGTTGATCCGTATGCTCCATATTTGGTTTAGTGCGCTTGGCTTTCAACAGGTAGTGTTGGATATTTGATACGCTAATCCCAATCAGGATGTCATTACTAATCATGATTCCTCGGAATAACGACATATCCGTGAGAACATGAGAGCCAAACTCAAGCCTACATTTTGGAGTCAGGATGGTCATTTATCCCGTAAATCCGTGATACTTTGCCACTATGATGTGTATATAAAGAGGATCAAGATGTGTAGTTAGCTATGTTTTAGAAGACGTGCAAATCAGAGTCAATTATTCCTCACCCAAATTGTACAACTCCTATCAGAGCCTAACCCCGTTCGGACTAGTACCAAAAGATTCCAATAGTTATGAGCCCGGGATCACTGTGAGCTACACTTGAAGCTATTCACAGATCAATCCTCAATTCGGAAATCTTGTACAGCCAGCCACGATACCAAACCAGTGAGCGTCCTCGATTGTGATACAGTTCAAGACGATCCAAGAGCAATACAAGATATTAGCAATGGATACCAGGAAGAACATTGTAATCCTAAAAACGACAGACGACTGGAGAAAATGGATCGAACAGCTTAGCACGGAGGCAATGAAGGAGAATGTATGGGAATACATTAACCCTGACCCAAACCGGATGGTACTTGAGCCCGCACCAGCCAAGCCTACGGAGCCAGTTGCGCCTGAGATAGACTTCAGCAAAACAAGTGAAGCGCAGCTGTTATTACAGAAATATCAGATTGAATCCAACACATACGAACGACAACTCAGTCGGTACGAGAACACCAGAAACGTATGAAGCATATGCGTTCTTATATCTCGACACTGTGTACATTGGACATAAGCCTATGATCGAGAAATCAGCGAAGTTTCTGAAATAATACGAAAGCTTAAGAAAGAGCTTGCTCCAAAACCAAACCGAGAAAGAGCCTTGTTAATTGAGCAGCATCGAGAGCTCATAATGACGAAAAATTCCTTGAAACCAAAAGAGTTGATTCAGAAATGGCGAGATTTAATAATTGACATGAAATTCGCCAAATTCACTGAGATTCCGGACGACCGATTAACCAGGGACTTCATCAAAACAACTGAGAATGTTTTACCCAAGTTCTATGAGACATGGACCACCCGTATGATCGAATTCGATCTTGATTCTGGAGCTACCAATCTAATAGAAATACCAACAGTTGATGAGATTATTAGTCAATTCGAACAATGGGAAGAGGTGTATACCAAATCTAATCCACCTTCCAGACGGGATATTGCTATGGCGACATTTGGCGATAAATCCGACCAGACAGAGAAGGAAAAACAAGACACAACACCCAAACAAAAGACGAGAACCTGCATATGCGGTCAGGAACATCTATTTGAAGATTGCCCATATGTGAATTCGAAGAAACGTACCGTCAATTGGAAACCAGATGAAGCCATACAGAAAAAGTTCGAGCAACTAGAGCGACGTCATGGACATCCCAGAGCAAAAATGCTCCAAAGAATCAAGAAGAAACTGGAAAAAGAAGGCAGTAGTGGGACGAAAGTCTCATTTTTAACTGATGCTAAGAATGACAATGGGAATAAAGAATCAGCAAATTTATTGTATGATTCGGATGAGTATATTGGCATACTTCTCAACGCCAAGCAACCATCTCTAAATCCACCGATCAGTACAGCACTGTCAGCCTCAAGCAGAAATCTTGATATTAAGGAGATGACCTTACTCGACAGTGGAGCGACAGTTCATATCACCAATAAACGGGATAAGCTTATTAATATGCAGTCGAATGTTCGAACAATCATGGCCGGAAAAACAGAGATCCAAATGTATGGACCAGGACAGTACATCCTTCACCCAACAGATCCTATTAGCGATAAAGTTATATGCAAAGGAATACGGATCTTGGAAATGTGGTATGTGGAAGGGTTTCCTACAACAATTATCTCAATGAGCCAGCTTCGGAGCCACGGTATCAAATACGATGGAAAAACCGACAGATTGTGGAGCGAGCGAACAAACGAGGACCTTTGCCATGTCAAATGCACTGGCAAGCTATATCTGCTTGAATGGAACTCGAATAAGAATTCTAAGACATCCCTATCAAAGGAGTTAGCCTTAAGTTCGTTTGACAAAAGAATACTGAAGGATCCCGCACAGGTATGGCATAAGAGATTCGCCCACGTATCCAATAAATCGATTGAAAACATAGAGAAGGCCACTGAGGGAGCAAACATTACCGCACCGTTCCAAAAAAGGAACGAGGAAGGATTCGAGGAAAAATGCGAAGTCTGTGCAATCACCAAGATACGCAAGAAAATCAGCAGAGTTCCAATGACGCCACCGACAAGGCCATTCCAAAAGTTATTTGTGGATATTATTGTCATGAATCTTGCAATGAACAAGGATTCATATGCATTGCATGCTGTTGACCCATACACGAAGTTTCACATCCTAACGACAACTCGTACAAAGTCAGTCAACTTCAACCTTGAAAACATGATTGAAGAGATCGAACATACCTTCAAGACAAGGATTGAGGAGATCCAACTAGACGGAGAGTCATCGCTTAATGGAATCAGCTTCAGGGACTATTCTCAAAAGAGAAAAATCAGACTGATTGTCACCGTGCCAGATACACCAGAGCAAAACGGCCCAAGCGAGCGAGCTGGAGGAATTATCAGCATGAAATCTCGCAGCCTAATCCAGGAAGCCAACTTACCTCAAGGATTATGGCCAGAGGCTATGAAAGCTGCCGTTTGGATCCTAAACAGAACTCCGATAAAAGCCTTGGGCTATAAGACAGCATATGAGATGGCTCATGGGACGAAACCATACGTTGGGAATCTGTTTCTATTCGGATCTAAGGCATATGTCAGAGTGGACACTAAGAAAAGCGAGAAGATGGCTCTGCGCGCCCAGATAGGATTCTTGGTGGGATATGAAGCTCACAATATCTGGAAGGTATGGACTACTGGACCTAATGGATCGAAAGTCATACGCGCCAGAGACGTCATCTTCGACGAGACGAAGAAATATGACCCAGAACATCCATTTGTTAAAGAGATTGTCAGAGAAGGTGTGCAGAGATACGTTGACAACGTTGACATACCAAATCTTGAAGACATCGAGCAAAACGATATAATCGACTCAGTTGACGAAGATATGAATCTACAAAGCATGGTCAGCCCAGTTGTGTCAAATATTGAAAATACTGGAGGCACATTACCTCATGATTCCATGGATATTAGCAGGCCAGGTCAAGCACTGGATATACAACAAGATGTGCCACAAAACATGGAGATTGACGAACCAACCCAGCCGGATCAGGATACTATGGATATTGACCACGAAAATCCAGAAAATGAAGCCCAAGAAGCGACACAAATTGACAATCGTGAGAAATCCGTGGTGAAGAAGTTGAAAATCGACTCAGCTGGAGGGGTGGAGCATGAGGATAATATCAAGGAAGAAGTTGACGAGGATAAGAATATCCCCAGCGACAAACAGCTTCCTCAATCTTCAAGTCCCGTGACCATGGAAAGGCTTTCAGCCAATCATGATGCAGAAAAAGCAAATAACGTCAACAACGACTTACCTACCCCGCCTCAAGGAGCCTCTCAGCATTCAAGCGAAAAGAATGAGTCAACAGGAACTCAGGAACCCCTTAGTACCTCTCGAGCACAGGAGATTAACGCGGACCTCTCAGAAAGCAATATAGTGACAGGACCCAGGATTCGAGTACCGTCAAAAAGAGCCCTAAGTCCAGAATCAAGCTCTTTATCAAGGAAGAAGCACAAAAAACTCAGCCGCGCATTTTTAGCCAGGCAAAAGTTGCTACAAGATTCGACAACGGACAAAATCCTTTTAGCTGCACTAGAAAAGCTTGAAAAACCACTTACAGAACAGCTTCCACCAGAACCTAAGAATTGGACAGGCGTTTTACGACACAAATTCAAAAATCAGTTCATACAAGCTGCGAAAACCGAGTTTGAAGCTTTAAACAAGAAAGGCACGTTTGAGTTTGTTCCTAGACCTCAAAATAAGCATATTCTACCACTGACATGGGTTTTCAAATACAAATTTGACAAGTATGGCAAACTTTCAAAGTTCAAAGCAAGGATCTGTGTGCGCGGTGATCTACAACAGCCCAATGAGCTCGAGAAGCGAGCAGCCACACTGGCAGCCCGAAATTTTAGGCTGATGATGGCTCTAGCCGCTATATTCGACTTGGAGATTGTGCAATACGATGCCGTGAATGCCTTCATAAACAGTCTATTGGATGAGGAGGTTTATACATTGTGTCCAGATGGCTTCAAACAAAGTGGCAAGGTCATAAAATTACGGCGAGCTCTATACGGATTACGGAGAAGTCCTCGGTTATGGCAGAAAGAACTAACAACGACCTTATTAAGCCTGGGATTTGTTCCAATACCTGATGAAGAATGTCTATTTATCAAAAATGGCGTTCTTATACTATTTTTTGTTGATGACATCCTTGTGTTCTACGACAAGGACAAAAAACAAGCTATTTTCGAAGAAACTGAGAAAGGCCTTACGAGCAAATACGAGCTCCGAAAAATGGATAAATTC